TGTGTGTGTGTGTTTATGTGTATACACTGTTTTATGCAACTACAGCATATGTATAATGCTGTAATGTAATTGCTGGTATATTTTAGATGCTCAGTGTGTGCTGAATCTATAACCTCCTACTCCCTTCTCAATCCCCATCTACTATTTTGCTAGAATATATTTCATAGGAACAAATGGCATAGTGATACCATCTCTGATATTCTCAAGAAAATAATTTCTTATTTCATAAAAGAAAACAAAAATTCTTTGATGCTTTGACATTCATTACACTAGTTCAGAATCAACTACAGATTTTTTAAATGTTAGTAAAATTGTTCTTCTGTCCAGAAAAATGTTTTACAGTATGGAGAAAACAGTAACCAAGAAGTTGGGAGTCTGGCTTCTAGGATTATTTCTGATACTTCTTTTAGTTTTAGGTAACTAATTCACCTATTTTTTCCTCCTTTATAAAATCAGAGGCTTGAAAACAGTGATCTCTAAGATCTCATCCATACCCACGAGTCTGTAGATTTCAACAAAAGGATATGATTAAATCGTAACGTGATGCAGTATGTTGCTCTTATACAGATTTCTGAACTCCAGTGAAGGTTTAATCCAAATTCTCTTGAAATATTTAGAAAAGATCAGGAGATTTAAGAGTGATGCAGTCCAGCGAATTGTTTTCCATTCTTTCTTGAAAACTTTTATTAGGTATTACCTCTGAGGCACACTATTATTTTTTCTGCTTATTTTATTCTGTCTCCAAATTTACATTTGGCACATATCACTTCCACCATTTCGAACACCTTCACCTCTTTAGCTTCTGACAAGTAGCATTTGGGACTTAGCTTTGTGCTGAGGTTATCTGTGGGGCTATGACCTGGGGATACCAAAATATACCCTCCAAGTCAGCCTAGTAAGTTGCTGTCAGTATTTTACCACTAATGTCTTTCCTTAGACATCTTCAGAAATACTTGTCTAACTTACACTTACGGTAAAATTCTTATATATCACCTAGGAGATGTAACACATTAACTACATGAACATAAAATGACAAATGATTTATTTGATTAAACTGCCCTCACCCATCTAAGCCAGAGCTCAGAAAGGTCTACATGCAGACCTCTAACACAGCAAGGACAAACATCAGAAACCCAGAAAGCATTTATACTGGGGGCTTGGGCAATAGTGTAGAATTGACAGATGTTACCACTTCACAGGTAAGTTTGGCCAATGTTATGGTTCTACCAAAAGCATTTCTGGAATGACCTGGCTAACACTATGAAACAGTGATAGACAAAGATATTTGTCCAAGAGTATGTCATGCTTCACAGCTGGCTTTTCTAAGAGCCTGTGTATTTATTTTGCAATGCTTCAGTGCTTTAAACTGTTTTTGAGCACTCTTTTGAAATTACCTATAAATTCTAGACTGTAATTTTATGAAGATATTTGGCATAGATATCAGAATAGTTAGCATATCCATCATGTTAGATTTTCTTTAATTGCTGAAATACAAACAACACTCCTCTAAGGGAAATTTTGGATACCAAATCTTGGGGTTAACCTGAGTGATTCATTTATTGGAATAGTAAACTTATATGAAAACAGCTATTAAAGAGATATCCCTAGGCTTCTGGTCAAGATGGTGGAGCAGACAGTTCCTAGCATCACTCTCTCCCACAAATCAACCAATTTGCAACTATTAAAAAGCAACAATAGGAGGCCCAAGAGCCATGCCAGAACAGGCAGGAGCTGTGTGCCAAGGGACCCCCAGCACAGGTCAGTCACCACTGCTTATAGAGGCCCGAGAGCTGCTGGGCCAACATGTCCTGAGTCAGGTGCAGCAGAACAGGCAGACACCATGGGACCCCCAGCCCAGGCCCATCCCTGCAGCCCAGGGAGGCCCAGGAGCCACCAGGCCTACATGCCTTGAGTCAGCCATGCCAGAACAGGCACATGCCATGGGACCCCCCGAGAGCTGCTGGGACAACATCAGGGTGGAACAAGTGGACCATGATACCCCCTGCCACAATGACTAAACACCAAAGGAAAGATACCAGAAATATGAAAAAATCAAGAAAGTACATCACCACCAAAGGAAAAGAATAACTCTCAAGCTCTAGATCCTATATGACAGGACACCCTTAAAAGGACAGACAAGGGGCTGGCCCAGTGGCGGACTGCTACAGTGCGCCACCTGGGAGCGCGGTGGCGCTCCCGCCGAGGGTTCGGATCCCACATACAGACCGGTTCCCACTCACTGGCTGAGCGAGGTGCGGGCGCAACACTGAGGGTTGCAATCCATTGCCGGACATGAAAAAAGACCAAAAAAAAAAAAAAATGACTGACAAGGAACTTCAAGCAACAATTCTAAGGAAACTAAATGTGATACAAGAAAACTCAGTTAGACAACACAAGAAAATGAGAAAAAATATACAGGACCTGAAAGAAGAAATGTACAAAGAAATCAATGCCCTGAAAAAGAATGTAGCAGAGCTTGTGCAGCTGGAGGATTCATTCAATGAAATAAAAAACACAACAGAGAGTCTAACTAGCAGGCTAGAATAAGAAGAAGAGAGAATTTCTGACCTTGAAGACAGGCTGGTTGAAGTAACACAGGCAGAAAAGAAAAGAGAATTTAAAAATTGAAGAAAATCTAAGAGAGAGAGAACAGACAGGCTTAAGCGCTCAAATATCCAAATCATGGGTATTCAGGAAGGGGAGGAAAAAGTAAATGGCATTGAAAACATATTCAAAGAAATATTAGCAGAAAACTTCCTCGATGTAAAGAAAGTCACAGATCTTCAGATTCAGAAGGCCCAAAGATCCCCAAATATATTCAACCCAAAAAGGTCCTGTCCAAGACAAGTTATAGTCAAACTGGCAAAACTCAAAGACAAAGAGAGAATCTTAAAAGATGCAAGAGAGAAGCAGCAAGTCCCCTCAAGGGAGCCCCAATCAGAATAACATCAGGCTTTTCATCAGAAACCCTAAAAGCCAGAAAAGAATGGGATGATATATTCAAAAAACTAAAGGACAAAAATTGTCAGCCAAGAGTATTTCACCCAGCAAGGCTATCTTTCTGAAATGAAGGACAAATAGAATATTTCTGAGAGAAACAAAAACTGCAGGAGCTCACTACCACACAACCAGCCTTACAAGAAATTTTCAAGGGAGTACTGGGTTTGATACCTGAAAAATGACCATCACTGCCATGAATACTCAAGGAAGAACAAAACCTACCAGTAAAACAAAAACGCTAACAATAAGAGAAAAAATAGTTTATCTACCACCCCAAGAATCCAACAAACACAGAAGACAAACAGAAAATCTGAAAGAAAGGAACAAAAGATACTTAAGACATCTAAACAAAAATCAACAAAATGCTAGGAGTAAATCAACACCTTTCAATACTAACTCTAAATATAAAATGATTAAATTCCCCAGTCAAAAGACACGGAGTGACTAATTGGATTAAAAAGATGGACCCAACAATATGCTGCCTTCAAGAGACTCCCCTCACCTGTAAGGATACACATAGACCAAGAGTGAAAGGATGGAAAAAGACATACCATGCAAATAGAAATGAAAAATGAGCTCGAGTAGCTACTCTTATGTCAGATAAAATAGACTTTAAACCAAAAACCGTAAAAAGAGATAAAGAAAGCCACTATATAATGATAAAAGGAACTATCCATCAAGAAGACATAACAATCATAAATACATATGCACCCAACATCAGAGCAGCCAGATTTATAAAGCAAACACTATTAGATCTAAAGAATGAGGTAGACACTAACACCGTAATAGCAGGGGACCTGAACAACCCTCTCTAAACATTGGACATATCATCTAAGCAAAAAATCAATAGACAAATGCAAGATCTAAACCATGCTTTAGACCAACTGGACTTAGCAGATATCTACAGAACATTCCATCCAACAACCTCAGAATATTCATTTTTCTCATCAGCACATGGAACATTCTCCAATATGGACCACATGTTAGGTCACAAATTCAAAAAAATTGGAATTATCCCATGTATTTTTTTCAGATCACAATGCATTAAAATTAGAAATCAATAACAAGGGCAGACCCAGTGGCTCACTCGGGATAGTGTGGCACTGGGAGTGTGGCAGTGCTCCGGCCGCAGGTTCGGATCCTATATAGGGATGGCAGGTCCGCTCACTGGCTGAGCGCGGTGCGGGCAACACAACGCCATGGGTTGTGATCCCCTTACCAGTCACAAAAAAAAAAAAAAAAGAAAAGAAAAGAAAAAGAAATCAATAACAAACAAAACTCTGGAAACTATACAAACACATGGAAGTTAAACAACATTCTACTTAATGACATATGGATCCAAGAAGAAATTGAGCAGGAAATCAAAAAATTTCTTGAAACTAATGAAAATAATGACACATCATACCAAATCCTGTGGAATACTGCAAAATCAGTACTAAGGGAAAAATTTATCTCATTAAATGCTTACTTCAGAAGAATGGAAAGATGGCAAATAAACAACCAAAGCTTCACCTTAAGGAACTAGAAAAACAAGAACAACTCAAACCCAAAGTTAGTAGATGGAAAGAAATAATGAAGATTAGACAGAACTAAACAAAATAGAAACCCAAAAAATGATACAAAAGATCAATGAAACAAAAAGTTGGTTTTTTGAAGAGATAAATAAAATTGGCATAACTTTAGCAAGGCCAGCTGAGAAAAGAAGACCCAAATAACAAAAATTAGAAGTGAAAAAGTGATATTACAATTGATACCTCTGAAATACAAGGAATCATTAGAGACTACTATAAACTATATGCAAACAAATTTGAAAATCTGGAGGAAATGGACACATACAAAATATCAAAACTGAGCCAAGAAGATATAGAAAATCTGAACAGACCAATAACAATAAAAGAGATTGAAACTGTTATCAGAAGGCTCCCAACAATGAAAAGCCCAGGACCGGATGGGTTCACCGCAGAGTCCTACCAAACTTTAAAGAGGAATTGATACCAATTCTCTACAAACTGTTCCAAAAGATTGAAACAGAGGCCATTCTCCTCGTATAACTTCGTATAATGTATGCTATACGAAGTTATTACGCCCTATCGATGCTTCCACTGTTGCATCCATGACGGTTCTTGGCACAGCAAGAGATCAAATTCTGAGGGGATAGATTGGCTGTGTATCGACCATTGGACTGAATCGCTATTCGGTCAGCTGCCACACCTGTTTCAAATAGAATATTGATTAATATTCAAATGGTATATGGTATTTCTAATAATTTACATAGTTCTTTTTGTTTGAACCCTAAACCAATCTTCAAAACTGTATATTATTTAAAAGTAAGGCCGAATGTCACTAACATATCTATATATTTAAGCCAGTTCAACAGTGTCATAATTTCAGTCATAAGTTTTGTCCTATTTTGGTATTGCTCCATTGTCTATTGATTTCAAAGACTTTTCTATTTCTTTGTTCCTTTCATGTTCTATAAACTTCTGAACTTTTCATTCAGAAATGTGTCAAGTGGAACTCCTTAAGGGCAAGAGCCATATTAGCTATATTTATATCTCCTGCACCCAGAACAGTGTTTGCACGTAGTCATGGACAACACAATTAAAGCCATTTATGATAAGCCCACTGCCAATATTATCCTGAATGGGGAAAAGCTGACATGAAAGCTTTTCCCTCAGTACAGGAATTAGACAAGGATGCCCACTCTCACCACTCCTATTCAACATAGTGTTGGAAGTACTAGCCAGAGCAATCAGAGAAGAGAAGGAAATACAAAGCATCCAGATTGGAAAAGATGTCAGGCACAGAAAGAGAAATACCACAGGTTCTCACTTATTTGTGGGAGCTAAAAATAAATAAAGATATAAATATACAAATAAAGGGTGGGGGAAGAAAGAGGACACAACAATCACAACAATTCCTTGAACTTGTTAAGACAAGTGAACAGATATGACATAGTAGGGAGGGAGGGTAAAGAGGGACAGGTAAAGGGACATGAAAATGTACAATGTATGTTGAGAAGTTAAGATAAAACAATTTTTTTTTAAAGATATTCCTTACACTTCTGGAATAAAAGTGGCATTAGTTTGGATGCTACTGTTATTAAAAGAACAGTTATATAACTTCAGAGTCAGAACCTAGATATTTACTTATATTTATTTAAAATAAGATAAAACCCATTTGATGCATTATTTAGTTCTAAAGTCATACTTTCCATCAAATTAGTTGAATAACTTAGTATATTTTTGCAAACCTTATAAAGAGAAAAGAATATAAGGATTATGTGTGTGTGCCTATGTGTGTATTAGGATTACAGATAATAATACAGATGAGGAACCTTAACACTCTTTTTATTATCTGGCCTTAACTCTCAAAAGACGAAAGAACTTGGCAACTTTATTTTGTTGCTCTTTTGCTTCACTCTCTGTTTAAAATTAGGTCCTAAAAATAATTTTTATACTAAAAATAAATTTTTAAATTTTTATGTGACCTTCAGGTTGTTTTACCTGGTCAGAATAAGACTTTATTTTAATTTACCATATATTAATATTTAAAAACTACAATTTAAAAAACATTTTAATTACATTTTCAGACTCTAGAGTCTCAGGAGGAGTTTATAAGGAAATAATTTAAATAACTTTATTACTTGCAGTAGAAAATGCCCAGGATGCAGCACAATTTTTTTGATCCAATGGACCATGAGTCCATTCAGGCCACTTATAAGAAGCAACGAAAAACTCTGGAAGATCAGTTGTTGCAGGTAAAGAAGCCTAAAGAGGGAAGAGAGGCACCTGTGTCAGATTTTCTCAAATGTGTTTCAATAGCCATCATAAAAATGTCATGTCCTTTTATAAAGTTTATGATTATTTTTTAATTATTTTGCACATTTAAGTTACTAAATGAAGTATAGTTATGTAACATTTCTATTTCACTCTATGTTTAAAAATGTCAATTCAGTGTGGGGAATCAAAACATAATACAAAATAAGAACAATACATAGAATGCTTTTTTTTTTTTTGTTTAGATTTGATTTAAAGAACTAGCATCACCTCATAAGAAAATTATTAAATCTTGAGTTTCATTATTAAAAACATTGCTATTTGGATGATGGAAGAAAGATGCCAAAAACGTTAAGATCTCTGTAGAATGCATGCATGGTAACTTGAAGGGTGGTATCATAGAAAGCCAGGTGATTTGGAGTTCTGAGACATTAGATGGCCCACATTGCAGAGCTTCAGGGTTGGAGAAGAATAAATTTATTGCTCTAAGTAAATAGTTTCAGAGATATAGACTTACTCTCCAAAGCTGTCTTTCTAACTGGAACAGATATGCACATATCTTATACATTAACTCATATCTTCCAAGTGTATTATTATTGACCTATCAGTATGTTTTAAAGCACTTATAATATTCTTGCCTCAAGTTTCCATCTTATACATTAACTCATATCTTCCAAGTGTATTATTATTATTGACCTATCAGTATGTTTTAAAGCACTTATAATATTCTTGCCTCAAGTTTCCAAAAAATATAAGTGGAGTGTCAATTGTTATTGTAATTTATCACTTTAAAATCCCCATTTAATAACACAGCTAGAATATTTCCTTCTCTGTCAAAGCAATAAAGATACAACTGTCACTTCAAATACATTTTAGCAGGTTTGAGCTATTTAGAGTTTGACCTCCACATTTGAAAGTCTACCAGAGTACTTGGCTCATCAGAGATACTCAATAAATATTTGATAATAATAATGAGATACATATTTATCAGGTAGATTTCATCTCTTAAAAATGTTTTCCCTTGTAGGCACATTAAATTAAATTATATTACCAGCATGCGTTTTTTACTTTTATGACTTATTTTTTAAAAGTGAAAAATATGAATGGCTAATCCTTCTCAATAAGATAAAGCAATAGAGAAACAACAAACAAAATGACATTTTTATTGAAAACATATTTATCAACTTACTAAGCCAGATCAATTCATGAAGCTCATTTATTGGATTTTTCAAGTTATTACCATTTAATATTGCTTTTCCTGAAAATGAGCCCCTGTGGATAGAGGCCCAGCAGGCACATACTACCTTGCAAATTTATCTGCTTCAGGATATCATATAATCTGATATAATAAACACATTGAAAATTCCATATCCTATTATTCCAAATTACTGTATTCCCTTGTAAAGTAAGTGTGCTTTATAGAGCTTATAAGTAACAGTAAGCATCACAGAATAACAGCTTTTAGGAATTGATAGTAGAAGTTTGGCTTTAATGAATGATACACTTATTTTTATTTATTTATTTATTGCCAAAGGATAGCTTAATAAAGCAAAAAAGTCAAGAGGATCAGCTGAGAGTGACAAATTCCAAATGACAGTGGCTTAAATAAGATAGAAACTTATACATAAGAAAGATTTATACTATTCCGCATGGGCATTTTTGATTTTTTTAATTGTAATGTTGAAAAAATTTCAATTGTAATCTAATATTTCCAAATCATTTTTAGCCAAATGTGAGGTTAAATTTGAACAGTCTCCCTGCTGCAGTCTTTCCATTTAGAAACTAGAAATTAAAGATATTTTAGACAAATATGAGAATTAAATGCAATGATAAACAGTGGAAAATTTTTTACAACTTCTGCATTTAATTGAATTAAAATCTTTGAAGGAATAATGGAAATATAATCACAGAGCAGCTAGAGCCAAACAAGAACCCCAGAACAAATTCCTGAGATGTTCACTATTGATGTTCTCAAGAACCTCAGAACAAATTCCTACCACTCTAGCTATTGAGTCTATATCTACCCAATATCCACTATGTGAATCATCCCCTGTCTCTAGTTGCACTTTCCCATCACTTAAATTTGGATAATCAGAGTGACCTAAGAATCAAATAAAGCAACAGAGAATATAAATATGTTCTGATCTTCACAATCTAAGGTCAGTGGCCATGAATACTGAGAAATTTCTTCTGATCTATTTGATATTGGGGAGAAAAAGGCTAATTTTCTGGTTGCTAATGGCTAAATGAATTTTTCATCTTCAACAATATTGCCTTCATGCCTTAACTTTTTAAGATTTAATCTGTGATATTTCTCTAATTTCTAATTGTAATTTTTTAATGATCTACTTAATTGTGAATATCAATATTCAATGATCACACTATGGCAAGTAGTGCCAGTTCTTCCCCATTCCTCTCCTTTCTTCACAGAAATAGAATTTTATCTCAGCACATGCAGAATCAGAAAAGTGACAATTTCCATCCCCCTCAGCTGCTATTATTAAGTTCTGGCCTATGGGATGTAAGAAAAGGTGTCATTTGGCAGCTTCTGAGAACTTTCCTTAAGAGACAGCTGGAACTTGACTCTTACTCCTTTTCCTCGGCCTTTTATCTTTTCCTGCTGGCAGAAGTTTGTTCTTTATAGATGAACATATAGTAGTCTTCTCAAACCATTATATGACCTTGGATTAAAAGCCTGGGCAATGGAGCAACAACGAGAATGTACTGTGGCTATCCAGCCCCATAGAGTGCAATTCCAGCACCAAGGCCACCCGCCTCCAGATTTGCTAGTGAGAGATCAATTTCTATCTTACTTAAGCCACTGTCATTTTGGATTTTTGTCACTCAGGTGAGCCTAATAATAACTATACAGTACACATAATTGTCATTAAACTTGCTAGGTCAATGCTATATTTCATTGAACCCAAAACATCATTAAATGTAAGAAAACATCCCCATTGAAGAGGTGTTAAAAAGTGAAGAAAATGTACGTCTGCATTATGGATGAACTATGATATTTTCTAAAATGAGTTCCTTTGAATCTCGTTCTGAGGAATTTTAAAAGGTTAATTACAAAAGAAGGAGTTTGTTAATCGAATAGTTCTAAGAAACACTGGTATTGAAAATTAAATAGATTTTTGTCTTCACTGCAATATTTTTTATAAACTATTAATATATGTGAGACTCTAAAAAGTGGAAATAATGTTCATGATTTTAAATGTTTACGATTTGGCCCAATAAAAAATATTTTATTTTATTTTATTTTCTATTATTTTTATGGTCAAGCAGATCAAAGGACTAGTGTTTCATGGAACATACTTTGGGAAGAACCACAGTATGGACAAGACAGACCCAGATGTGGGGAAGCCAGAGAGTAGGTGCCTGTTACATCAACACACAAGTCACTTCCAGAATCTGCTTTTTAACAGCCCAAAATATTTGTTCGTATAGAAGAAAAAAATTAATTTTCACATTTCTTTTTGAAGATTTGTCCTGTGGTGATCAATTCAGTCCCACTGTGTTCAAGTCATGTTCAATTACATCACAGTGATAAGCATCAGACTATGACTTGTACAGAAAAATAAAATTGAAAGCCCCAAAAATGATTTGAGAGATAAGACTTTCATTCCGCCATAAGTGTAGGTGAATAAGGAGTGAGGCCAGGTGTATATTTTCTAAAGTTTACTGAAAGGTCTGGGGGTCCATTCTGAGAAAGAGGTAAGAAAGAAAGAGACTTGAGGAGACATAAGTAAATGTTCCGATGCTCTTTGAATTTTAAAATTCTTCATTCAGTTATAGTCAGAACAGCTAGCATCCTATTCCATCCTTGGCTTTTTCTGTACATGGATCAGAAGATTGTGACATGAGCTAAGGGAAATATATACTTAAACTGGACTCCACCATGACATCTGGCCATGCCTCTCTTCTGCAGCACCAGCAGCACTTACAGTATTTGGAGGCTTTATATTCATGTATGTGGGAGCTTAACATAAATTTTATGGGGGAAAAAATGGTCATTTTTGCTCAATATTCTATAAAGTATATAACTATATAACTGTGTTTTTCACTTTTATATTCAATGTTTCAGTTTCTACAGAGGCTTCTGTTTACACTGGTGGCATATGTTATTAAAATCAAGTAGAATATGTTCATTCAGACAGGGTTATTCCTAAACAAATGAAAAATTTCCATAACTTATCAGTGGTAAAAACTAAACCTGGAAATATTCACTTTTAATTTCTCCAAAGGTATTTCTCATGCCTCAGTTCTTGCTATGATTGGAATATATTTTGGAAAGGAAAAAACAAGTTCCTCCTTTTGCAACTCATGACTAATGAAATAAATCCAGTCAATCAACTGCTATGTGTTATTTAGACAATGATAAAATATCCAGATAATTAAATGAATTTATTTCTCACCTCAAAAATCAGTAACTTTAAAAATTATTAATGATACATAAAATATTATTTTGCTTTAACTTTCAACAAATCATAGAAAATTTTTGACATTGTTTTTCTTTGTTTGTTACCCAACTAAATCTACCTTTGACTAAGAAAAGATGTTGTGCTAGTTAACTATGAGGTTGACTCAAAAACTTTTAGAACATTTTTATCTACATCAATCTGATACCATATAATATAGTATAAGTTTTAAATGTTATGCCAATCTTTTAAAATTTTTAATAGTTTCCAAATAGTTCCACCTTAGATGTAATACTTATCTGTAATAGCTTTGGTAACCTAATTATTCTTCCTGGGGAATAAAGAACAATAAAAACAAAACTACTAAAAAAAAATTTCAACTGAGCCAAGTATAAAAATGAACTGTTAATTTCCACAATTCTGTGTGAAAATAGTATGTTTCATTCAAAATATTTGCAATATTTACAATAAGATACAACACACTGAAACATCTTGGAGATATCCCCCAAATTCAAAAACACTTGATCATTATGTCTGGAAAAACAATCAGCTACAGAGCTGATTTGATTT